TTCCTTTTTCTAATGAATTTTTATTTTTATTATTCAAAAAAAAAAAAGAAATAGAAAAGTAAGAAGAAGAGAGTTCAATCAGTTCTATCCTTTCTCCTATCCTAATCACTTTTATTAATCTAATCTTAAAAATCATAATTAGAAAGATGCCCTTAATGGGGCAGCCAGCTGATAACATAACATAAAAGAATGAAAAAAGAAAAAAAAAAAAAGTTTGCAGGTCCATATAGATAAGGCCTATTAACATAAACATAACAAATAAAAGAAAGTAAGGAATGAAAAAGGTACTAGGGCCCATAAGACCCAGTCTCTCTACACTCCCCCCTCAAGCCAAGCATAGATGTCAATCATGCCCAGCTTGTTTATATAGTGTTGCAGCTTCCCCTTTGGAATTCCCTAGTCAAGACATCAGCTAATTGTTCTTCAGAAGCAATAAATGGTAAGCAAACTTCCCTTGAAGCAACTTTCTCTTGAATGAAATGTATCTACTTCAATATGCTTTGTTTTGTCATGCTAAACAAAGTTATGAGCAATGTTGATAGCTGCTTGATTATCACAGTATAACATCATCAATTTCTCATAATCAATGCCCAACTCTTCCAGAAGATATCTAAACCACAATAACTTGAATCTACATTTCGAAAACCAGACCAAACCAGCCAGTCAAACCTATTGAATCATGACTCGGGACCATAACCGGTTCAATCACACCCCAAGAACCGTAATTGCTAAAAACCCAATGAAAACCGATCGACCATCAGGTTTAACTGGAAAACTAGTAAACTGGTCACGGTTTCATGAAACTGCCTAGGTCATTAAATAATCGAAATTTTAAAACATGTGTGACAAGACTTGAACCCATGGCCTCTTATTTTCATGTATTAAGTACCACTAGTCCACCTCTTTATTTGTGTTAATTAATGATTCTTTATTGTATATATTACTTTATTACACACGTATTTTAAAGAAAATGTAAATTAAGAGACTTGAACCCTAGCCATTTGCTTTAAAAATTAAAGAACACTAGTCCACCATATTCGAGTATAATAGAATTTGTAAAATATATTATATATAGTATTTATATAATTCATAGTATATATATATATATATCAATATGTGTCACATCACCACGATTTGACCTTCAGTTCAACCCCAAACTGATAGAATGGCCAATCTGAATGAGCAGCCAAAGATAGTAGAACTGGGTGTTGATTATGATAAGCCATTAATGTTATATTGTGATAATCAGGCCACCATCAACATTGCTCACAATCTGGTGCAACATGATAGGACTAAACATATTGAAGTTGACAGGCATTTTATCAAAGAAAGAGTGGCTTCTGGAGAAGTTTGTCTACCATTTATTACATCTGAAGAACAGTTAGCTGACATTCTTACCAAGGGAATCTCCAAGGCCAAACTTCAACATGACACTGGCAAGCTTGGCATGATTAACATCTATGCTCAGCTTGAGGGGGAGTGTAGAGAGAATGGGCCGAATGGCCTATAGGTTGCTTTTATTTGTTTATGTTCTTGTTTATGTTGTTAATGGACCTTCTAACTAATGGGCCTTTTCTATGTTATCCTTAATTAAGTTAATCGCCCAATTAAGGGCCTCTTTGTAAATATCAAAAGTTGTAAATTATGTTTAATGAAAAGGGATTAGGGAAGAGAGAATTCATTTGAAAGTCTTCTCTCCAAACCCTATTTGCCGCCAACTTCTTCTTCTTCTCTCCTTTTCTCTTTTTTGCTGATTTCTAACATCTTTTAACACCTTTTTAGTCAGTCCTTTATTTCTAAGGATTGTTTTTCTTCTATAAGAAAGGCTATAGAAAGGACTAGATTCTGCCAAAGTGACATCCATAGAGACAAGGCGAGTGCCACTAACTAGGTCATAATAGCAATATCCCTTCTGTGTGGAGGCATATCCCACAAACATACATTTACGAGCCTTAGGCCATACTTGTGCCTTTGCTAGCTAAGAATGTGAACATAGCAAATACATCCAAAGACCCAAAGAGGAAGAGAGAAAAGATCCTCATTAGGAAAGAGGATACTAAAAGGTGACTTGAAACCTAAAACCTGAGAAAGCACATGGTTTATCAAATAGGTGGCAAGTAGTAAGAACAACATTCCCCCAAATTTTCCCGAAACATGGGATGCAAAAAGAAGGCTTCAAGCAACTTCAATTACATGACGATTCTTCCTTTCCACCACTCCATTTTGATGAGGAGTGTAGGTACAGGAGCTCTAATGAATAGCCCTAAAGGTATCAAAATATGATGAAATGTTCTTTTCAAAATATTCCTTAGCATTGTCAGGCAAAATATTTTGATACAAACATTAAAGTGAGTAAGAAAAGTTCATGGACGCACTACACAATGATTGAAACTTCATCACAACAACACAGATTTAAATCTATGTAAATCTAGAGAAATCATCAACAAATAGAATGAAGTATTTGTAGCCACCCATGGCAAGTAAATGGTAAGGCCCTCGCACATCAAAGTGGACAATATGAAAAAGAGAAGTTGACCTTTATTACTTATAAGAATGTCTACAATGCTAAGGGTTGTCAATGGGTCAAATTAGACCCAATGGACCCAAACCGATTGGATCGGTTTTGGTTCCAACTGGAACCAATGGGTTAGTTCCGATTCCTAATATATTGTCCCGATTCTTATCGGGTCAGAACCAGTCCCGCCTAATCCCGAACCAATTCAGACCCGACTATCTATCTATCTATCTATATATATGTATTAAATGTATAATATATATTTAATATATAGAATATATTAAATTATATATATATATTAAATAAATTAATAATTATATATAATATTTTTAATAAATTTATTATAATTGGGTTCATCAGGTCGGACTCAGTTGTCCCAAGAACCGATTGGTCCGGTTTTGGGTCTAAAATTATTGACCTTATTGGGTCCAATTCGGTTTCATGTCCTTAATGATTCTTGTCGGGTCGATTCCGGTTCCACCTGGACCTGACCCAGGCTCAACCTGCAACTGTGATCACAAAGTGATTTATAAGTCTTCCATATTTTTCATGTTCTGCCTTTGCAGCTGCCAATTGCTCCATAGCTGATTTCTCATCACCATGCCCTTTCTCACCCTCAAGAATAGTAGCCATGTTTGCATTTCTAGTCTTCCCAATCTTCTTATTATTATTGTTATTCCAAAACGTTTTTGGTAGAGGATGTGAATGTAGTTTCCAACAAGTGTTACTGACATATCACTTCTTTCTTCTCATTAGTCCCCTTAGACTTCATCCCTGCATGTGCAAAATGTTCTAAAACTGGAGGTGGAGCCTTCAATTTTACTCACCACATGTTCTCTTCATTATTAATCATGGTATATGCCTGAGCAAGAGTCACTTCAACCTTTGCCAAAATATTTGATCTGGTTATATCAAATTCAGGGTTAAGTCCAATGAGAAACTCAAATACCATGTTCCTTTCTACCAGCTTTCTATAAGTCTCAACATCCTTAGTACCTTCCAATGCAACTACTTCATTACATTAATCTCCTACCATAGGGACTCTAACATAGAATAATATACAGCCACATATTTCTCCCCCTGTCTTAAATTATTCACATCATTCTTCAATTTATAGGCCCTGGCAACATTCAATTTTTGGGAATAAGTTTTTGTGACACTATCCCAAATCTCCTTGGTTAAATCAGACCACAAGTAATGCTAACTTATGTGGGGCTGCATGGAATTAACTAACCACCCAATAACTATATAATTCTCCTGCATCCATTTTTCATATGTGGGATTAGTTTCTTCTAGCTTCTTCTCATTGCTTGTTAAATACCCCAACTTGCCTTTGCTACAAACATGAATCAATATAGATTGTTCCCAAGCCAAGTAATTCCTTCCATCTAACTTAATTGTAGTTAAAGCATTAAACAAAGGTTCTACAAACCCTACTAAACCAACTCCGAACTCTAGGCTCTACTTTGTCTAGAGTCCAAATTGTTCCATCTGATCAAATGAAAATCAAACTATGGTATTACTAATCCAAATAGACTAACCCATAATCAACCCAACACTAGAATCACAAAAATCTAGAATTCCATCAAACCCTACAACTGGGAGAATAGGGAGAACTACAGCCACTCCAACCAGCGACTCCAGACACCTTACCATGAACTCAATCTCTTCTAGAAGGTAAATAACATCTGCCAAGCCTTGAACGCCAACCTAACTCAACCTCCTTAGCCCTTAACAGTGAATCTATCTGCCAAGTCTTGAGCACCAACCTAACTCAATCTCCTTGGCCCTTAACAGCGAATCTCTCTAGTCATCTAGGGTTTTGAGCAAGAGAAAAGATAGCAACTTCTTGGCATTCTAATAGCCAGATTCTAGATCTCCAAATAGGCAGCAACCAACTAAGAATAATAAGCAATCTAACTCTCCATATGCTCTTCCAATCGAAGGGTGTATGGGATTGAAGTGAAAGAAGAAAGAGGGAAAGGATTGCTTTGATACCAATATGTAAATCAACCCAAAAGAAAGAGGATGTTAATGAAAAGAAAAAGGGTCAACAAGCCTATATGGACAAGGCCCATTAACATAAACATAACAAATAAAATAAGGTACGAAATAAGAAAGGTACTAGGGCCCATTCGACCCAATCTCTCTACAAGTCCTTGGTAGCATGGCATGGACTGAGTTCTTTGGGCCTGGATTAGGATGAGAGCCTCGGTTCCTATCAGCTATGCTCTGATATAATGCTGTTTATTGCATGGACAAATTTAATCTATAAAATTAGAATATTCTAATTTGGCAAGATATAAGTATTGAAAACAATGCTTCACTTTAAAGGGATTAGAAATAAAACTGTGGTATCATCATATCAGATAGGACAATTGCTTCCATATCCATTTCCTTGAGTTCAAGAAATGGAAATTCCTAGCTGTTTCTTAAACCCATGTCCATATCAGGGCATCTTAGATTATGATTCAAAATTGTTTACCTGAATATTCAACCATAAGCCTGGAGGCTTCAACTGCTTTGCCACATCTTCAACAGTAAGAATCTTGAACATATTACCATCAAATTTATTTGCTCGGGAGTAAATTCCTTGAGTTACTGTTCAAGTGGAAAACAAACTGTCAGTAAAATCTATGATATCTCAGGCTACAGAAAGTAATCAGCCACACAAAAGATTCAGCAATTGGCCTAAGGAGCTCTTATAGGCATTAAACAGTTTTTTCGCTCATTAGTTTGTCAAGGCACTAATCTTTTTTTTGATAAATAAAATTTCATTAAAAGTTAATTATCGGTATAATAAAAACTGTTACAAGTATCCCAAAGGGAGGCGCGAGGTGCAGCCTCACCCTTTAAAAGAAAATAACCATCACAAGATTACAATTGGACCCAATACAACTGATCCCTAGTTACTCCTTGTTTGGCTAAGCAATCAGCAAATGAGTTAGCCTCCCTTACCACCCATTGTGTGACTAAATTCATATGTTGTGTCTCCCATTTGAATTTCTTCAATTCATTTCTGTAGCACCATATCACCGAATCTGAATCTCTAAGCCAACCCACCACCACCTTAGAGTCCCCCTCTATCACCAAGCACTCCACCCCTATTTCCCTTGCAATCTGTACACCTTGTAGGACTGCATACAGTTCTGCCCTTATAGAGTCTCCAATCCCCATCGGTCCGGAGTAGAGTGCTCTCAGATTCCCATCCTTGTCTCTGATAGTTCCTCCAATTCCAGAAAGTCCCGGATTTCCTTGACTACTCCCATCAAAATTCAGCTTCATGAATCCTTCCATGGGTGGTGTCCAAGTCAATCGTAGCTTAGTCCATACTTTTCTGCTTACTTCTCTCCTTCTCTTGGAAGATTCTGGCATTTCTTTCTTCCCACAATGTCCAAACCACTGCTGCTCTAGCACATCTCCACATCATCCTTCCCCTTTTTTTCGGCCAAGTAAATGTAGATAGATCGAACAGCAATTTAATCTCCATTGGCATATTCCACCAAGAATCCACCTCTCTGAACTATGAACTCTGAAGTTTGATACAGTCGCCGCTCGCCAGCGAGAAACAAGGCTAGAGATCTGGTCTGGTGTTGCCCAAACTCGGTGGTGTTTATCAAGGCACTAATCACCCCTTATAATGCTAAATGATATAACACCATAATGATCTAGTATGCTTTTCTGTAATAGCAATGTCAACATTCTGCAAAGAAGTTGGGCAGAAAGGTATGCATTACTATTCCTTGTACATTAGGGATTAGTTTTCAAGAATCTGTGGGTACCTTATGACAGCTTCAAGAACCTCCAACGGCAAAAACATATCAGACTCAAAATGTAAACTAATAAAAACATGGCAAAAGATCTAATTTGTGAAATAATTTACAAAAGGAAAAGTAGTATGATTTAGTCAGTTACAATTCTGAAAATCTCAGGAGTTTGATATCGGTGTCAAAATATATCATCCCAGATTTCTAAATTTATGCAGGAGAATATTAAATTTAAAAAACTTAAGAAGTTGCACTTACAGTAGACATTTGTCAAGTCATCTAGGGTAAAGTCCACAGAAAAGAATCCTTCCATGAGTTGCCCATTAACACGGTACATTTTAGTATCGTTGAAGACATATGATATGCTAGAAGAGTTCCCTAGATTGAGGTATGGAAAGCATATTCCATCTCCATCTTTTGTCAACTGCACATCACACCACAGGACCACATTGGGCAAACTAGTAATCAAGGCCAAAGCGTAGGCATGATAACTTGAATCCGGAAAAATCCCTGAAAAGCCACCCTTCGCTATGACTAAAGGTGCATTTCCTGCAAACAAAAGCCAACAGATAGGATCTGCTTCACATGATAGCTCTCCAAGAATACCAGAGAAAATAGCAATATGTCTACAAGAAAATTCTAGCTAACATTTGGATACTGGAAGCTGATGTACCAAATTCTTAATGGATAACCAAGAAGACAGTAACTTGATCAACAGCAAAAGATAAAAGGACATAAAAGCAAAATGGTTGAGGTGCAAATCTTCTTTGCAAGTATAAATGAACAGCACCACAATATGAAACACAAACTAAAGATGAAAATATGCTTCACAACTTCATATAAACATGTGGGTGAAACAATATTGTAATTTCTTTCAAGAAATTGTAAGATGATAGATGATTGTGTAGATCAATTCAAAGTATAAGCATAGCTCCTGTACAGTGAGCAGCTATACAGTTTACAAAAATAAAATGCCAAAATTAAAATGACTGATGATTCAAATTTGGGAAATCCTTGTGTACCACCTGGGGACAGGTAAAAAAACATACACTTTAGGTCCTTTGGGTCCACTAAGGAGAAAATATTGTGGCCCAGGGAAATGTCTTGGGTAGAGCCCAATGAGAAATTAAGAATAGCTGTTGGGCAATGGGTTCACTAAGCTATTGCCCAAGATGCATTAGGCGGGGCCCTATATGAACCCAAATTGGAAAGGCTAATGGGCTTCCACCCTTGCCACTTGGCTTTCAAGCATGCCAGCCCTATATGGTAAGGTTACACATGGTGTAATCACCTACCTTTTGGTGATGGGCAAAATGACAAAATCATCAACTGGAAATCTTCTCAAGCTAATATGACAGGCCCTAATTAAATGGTAATTGACATTTAATGGCGCTTAAGTGATAAAAAAGGAAATGACAGTTGACTGATTGATACAATGGAGAATCAACTAACCAGCTGAATGGTATTTCCTTTTATACGGGCCCCTCGTCCAATCATAAATACTGATCACATGGCCTAATTCACAGGGGACCAATTAGATCTTAGTAAGAAGGGCCCACTGCCATAGAAAGACATATCGATGATCAACAAAAAGTGACAAAGAGAATCACGTTAATAGCTGGAAGAGTTTTTTTTTTTCTTTCAATCCAATCTAGTGAGACCCATTTGATGGAAATTAACATGCACTAGTGCCTAATGAATGACCATATAAGCGGAAACTAAGGTTGGCTGACAGATCCATTGAAGATCATCCTAATAGACTACTGGAATATACTTTTATAACATTGAAATCAAAATTAAAATAGGGCGGGCTCTTAAAATAGAGACATCCACTATAAAATGGGAGGACAACAAAGGGGTCCTTCTCTGGGCTCGCTTTCTTTTGACAAAAAAGAAGAAGGGACGGCTACACCAAAATCAAGGTTGACAGCCCTCAAACTGCTATAACTAAAGCCTTTTATAATCAAAGATAAAGTCTTTCAACCCTCAAGTTGCTGCAGAAAATGTCTTTAGAGATCACTCCAAGGGAGCATCATCAATTTTCTCTAATTGAGTTGGTATTTCTCTCCTCTAACAACCAAATCTTTTTGCAATGAACCATCCTTAATGGAAAACTTCTCTATCCAAAATCAATGTTAACTCCAAGGGAGCTCATTTGTATGTTTCTCTCTTGAAATATCTCAAAGCAAGTATTTTTACAATATCGGGCCTCAAAGCTGTTGTGCAGGTTCTATTTCAAAGTGCAAGTGATCTAGGAAAAAGAATTTATTACATTCTTGGATCCTACGAACAACAAGAGAATTGGAGGGTGTTCTTTGTTGTAAAAGAAGAAAGAAAAGAGAGATTGTACCCCACCCATATTTTACAAAAATAATAAAAAAATCAAATTTATTTGAATTTGTCCTTATTTTTTGTGCTTCAAATTTATGCACAAAATTTGTGTCAACACCACCATCCAGGAATGTAGAGTTTCCATCGTCCTTTCAAACACCTTGTCCCTAGGGCTACTATGCCTTCAAATATTCTTTGATTCTTTTCGGTCCACATAGGCCAAACGACCACTGGTGGAATCATTTTGTATAGTATTCTCCACCTTTCATTTAGGCCCTTTAGTTGCCACCCAGCCGCTAATTCCCTTATAGCTTGGGAGGCACCATTTGACATTCAACATGTTGCAACAGTAGAGCACTTTACTGGCCACAAACTAGCCATGAATGAAGAGGTGGTCCACCGACTCTTAAGTTATGGTCAGAATACACATGCCATGGAGTGGATGCTCATATTGCAAGTGACTAGTTTATTTCTTGTTCGTCATTTTCCCAGCACCACAAGACAAATCAAGAATGCTACCATAGATGGAACTAGGGGCAACCATATCTTTTGCATGTCACCAGGTGTACCATTGCACTAGTCAGTTGCCTGTAGAACAATCTCACCAAGAACAGACTAGAGTTGTCCCACTTCCACACTCTAACATCCTCATTTCCTGGTTGTGGGAGGCATTCCTTTAGCTAATGCAAGAGCTCCACCAGGCTACCGTTTCTCCCTTTAGTTCATAGAGGTCCACCACCAGGGCCTCTCCACACTTCCACAGGTCAGTTCATTTATTATTACCAGCATCTGCATCGTCATCCATGGAATAATTAGTTATTTGAGTTTCAACTAAGTCATTGGCATCTGATTTTTGTGTACTTCTCTTTCTTTAATAACTAGCTTCATGTATATCTTTTTAAAGAAGCATAAACCAATTTCTTATATCGAGTTCTCCCAAAGTCAGAGTAGTGGATAAGCTAAATAGTCAAAACTAGAATATTCTAAGTTTCTTTTTTTTTTTGTATTTTAGATAAGAGAGCATTTTGATCGTTTTTACCTGTCCGTATGGATCTGACCCAAGAGTTTGGTTTGCCTAGTTATATTTTTGCTGTTATTAAAGTTTCATCTCATTGATTATGTAGTTTAGGTGTTATTGAGTTTTCTCATTTATGTAGAGGAACAAATAGAGTCTATTTGAGTTCTTACAGCTTATTGAGTAATTATCATCCCCCCCCCTAGATCTTCCTTATTTTTCATTCTACCAAATTTTATTACAAACTCTATTGAAACCCTATTTTCTGGAATTTTAGTTGTTTTTCTCATTAAAGGTGTTTTTGTCCTTTTGTTATGTTCATAAGGATTTCAAATTAAATTGCCCAATATGATTTATTATACTAAACATCTCAGCAAAGTCTCACTAAAAAATTTAGTCCACAGTCCCTATACTTGATTTTTTTTAATCTTGTAGTTTTCCATCGTCCTACGGAGAATTCACAATTCTCAGCAATTTGACCCAGAATCTGTGTAACCCTTCTTAACCCTTACCTTTCATCCTTAAACTCTCCTAGCCAATCATTATTCCACAGACCCATCCTTGGATCATTCTAGCCCTACATCAATTGGTAATAGAATAGCCTACCCTACAAGTTCGGAAGCATGTCCTGCAATGATGGTTGTAGCTGATGTGAGTTATCAAGTTGGTATTAGAGCTGTTGATCCTACATCACAGACATTCAACTTTCAAATATGTGAACCTATAGGAAAAAGGAGAGGGAAGCAAGTAAATTCTTGATAGGGAATATGGCTTTTTCAGATTCTTCAAATAACAACGTGCTACTGTACTCTAAAAGCAGAAACAACTTTCAAATATGTGAACCTACAGATTGACGCAAGTATTGGTATTTTATGGCATTTTTATTTTCTTGTTTGATTGCTTCATAACTCCTAACTGATATATGGAATTATGGATCACAATAAAGCACTTATTTATTGCAAATGAAAGGAAAAAAAAAAAACACTTCGATGTGAGAATGAAATAAATATAGGCCAGACATATGGCATACAATAACTGAAATAGTCTAAAATAGGATAATTTCTATGATGTCGGAAGGGTATAATTGGCTTTTCGTTTTCCCCGCTCCCACACCCGCCCAAGAAAAACCATAATACTGAAAACAAGCTATTTTCAAGGAAATATACGAGTACAAAAAGAAAAGTCATGCTCGTTTGTAGTCATGATCATCGATCTTTCATAACATAAGTTCCCCGCTTAAGCTTTTTCTCAGAAAAATCAAACCCAATAAAGCTTTTCTTAGAGAAAAAATCTGTACGTTTCTCATAGAAAATCCGCTCAAGAGACTTCCGCCTCATGAACCTTTTGTTTTATTTCAAACAAAGTTCAGAACAAAATTAAAATAACAACAATAAACATATTCATTCTAATTTTCCTCTTTTTTCATCTAACAAAATAATCCGTCATTTCCGCATAGAAAACCAACCAAAGAAACAGCAAAGGAAAGGAGAAGACAGGCAAGAAGGGACAAAAATTGCTCCTATAATTTATTCAGACAACAAAAGAACGCATGCAAAACCTCAGCATTCTACATTTCAAGAGCAAGTTATTATCGCAAGTAAAGAACTAAAACCGACAACAGAAAGCAGAGGTACAGGGAAGAGGAGAAGAAGAAGAGGAGGAAATACAAACCACTTAGCGTCTGCCACGGGCTGGTAATCTTCTCAGAAGAAGCTATGGATCTCCGAGCGACTACCAGAACTGCCAAGTGAAGAAGAAATAGAAGAAATAGAGAACGAGAGACCGGCATTGCAGGAAAACTGACCGGAGAGAATGCTGCAAAACTCTGAAAGTTCCAGTGAGTCCCGATCGGATTTACGAGGTCCTTTTCGGGAAATGAGAGAGATGTGGCTGGAGAGACAGAAGATGGAAATAGCTGTTTTTGTTGAGCTTCAGTCTCATACTAATCAGAAGGGGTGAGACCGTGAGAGACAGTAAGTCGTACTTTTCTCACGTTGGTTTTAATTATTTTGGGCAGGGCACTCTTGATTTTTTATTTTAACTTGATTAACCAAGGCACGGTTCCACAAACCCACGCCCGCGAATGCGAAATCGGATTTGGTCCCCACAGGACCGTCCTAACAGTTACTTGCAGCGGCATATTGATACAAAAAAATTGGGTAAATTGTTGAAAATCTCTTAAAGATTCATATCATTGTTGAAACCTCCTTTCAAGTTTACTAATTTCAATCACCTCCCCTGAGTTTTCATATACAGTTGCAAATAGATTCTGTATGACAGAATTTTCTAAAAAAGGGCATGAAAATGCTCAAATACCCATGCAATTACCATTGAAGCTGGTTTCTATCAAAAATAAATAATACAATTTTTATAAACAATAAAAACAAAGAGAATTTAAAGCTGCAGCCCTTTGAATGATTGATCTGTATGGGCAAATTTGAAAAATAAATCAATTTCATAAAAGAGATTGGAAGGGTTTGGGGTAGCAATTCATATGAAGAGAAAATTTGAAAAGTAAACATTTTTGTCAAAAGCAACTACATGGTTATTTTAGACATTTTGGTTCCTCTTTTTAGAAGATATTACCAATGGAGATCTATTTACAACTGTTAGAAAGTTCAGGGGAGGTGATTGCAATTATCAAACTCCAAGGAGGTTTTGGCAACAACTAGAAACTTCAGGAGAGGTTTCAGCAAATTACCTTAATATAGGTACAAAGATATTCCCAATGCACATCTACTGCCACTACATTGCAACACTCAAACAGGACACAGCTGCAATGAAAATGAATAAGCAAATTAGTCAATATCTTGTAGGAAGGCTAGACCTCCTCACAACTAGAAAAAATGTTCCCTTCCAACATGTTCTAATACAATCAGAGTCCCTAAGTCGCACACATGGTGGGTCCAAGTTTCATGTTGGTGCAATTTTTGTTTTGAGCATACCCCAACTCATTTTGTAGGGTCATTGCTCCATAGAATTTCACATATTCATTATTGAGTCCCAATCTCTTACATGGAGAACATCTTTGACTCTTACATGTTATTATGTATGAGAAGATGTAGATAGTGTTTTGTGGGTAGGAGATTCGCAGTCAGTCTTGCTTCCATCCTGCTCTATTAATAGTTACCACCCATAATTCCTCCAATCCAAATTTGCTTATCACAAACACAAATTTTACGAGCAAAATTTATAATAAATCAACCGGTATAGTGGTGACCAATCAAGTGATATTAATGAAAATGGAGGGAAGGGTTCTGATTAGTCAAAGCACTTTTGTTTGTCAACATATAATGTGAAAAAAATGATACAACGCTGTGATGGTGAGAGAAGAGGGTATAATGATGCGTTTTTTTTTTTTTTAATAAGAAATTTACACTTGCCCAAATCACGTCATTGTTGAAATTTGTGTCTGAGCGCATGGAAAATTGTTGTAACTTGTAAGAAATACGCGTTTCCGTAATAATCGGCAAGGATGGCTGGAGCAAAGCTCCCTACAATGGCTGTTCGCATCAGAGTTGACAGTCGTTTGTTTTTGAGTTGACTAATAAGCTGAAGCTCAAGTGGTTGAATTAAATGATTTTGATTATTAAAAGGGTAAAACACAAAAACATTTTGAAGTTTTTGACAATCATAAAAATCTCCTCTATAATTTCATTTTAGTAAAAATTTCTCCTTTATTTTTGATAAAATTAATAAATACCTCTCTTTAGTAAAAATTTACCCTTTCTAAATATTCTGTTCATCTTCTTCCCTGTTCGAACCCAGAAGCAAAGGCAGCGGCAGGTCAGTGAGAACATTCAAACAGTAATACAGGGATTGAAACCGTGTATTTTACTATTAATTAAACAAAGGTTAAGAATATTTTATTTTACTATTTTTTATAAGAAATTGAGAACAATTTTCTTGAGGAAGAGGACAGTTGTCAAGAACAGATTTTCTGAGTTTAATGAATAAATTCGTTTGGTACCCAAAAAAGAATTTCGAATCTCATGTAAATTTACAGAATGCACAGCAAGACTGTTTATTTATTTGTTGAATTTAAAATTCATAATATTCACGAACGCCCAAAACCTCTCGGCGACCTTTCAACAGCCCTATAAAGAAGTGGGATATTTCAGCATCTATGATTGGTTTTTATCGGCCCTCGCAGTCGTAGTATCTAATTATTCGACTTGATGTTAGGTCTCATTTTCAGTTTTGAAATGACTAGATTTTTGGCTTTCTCGAGTAGGGATGCAACTTTTATGAGAATTTAAAGTTTTATCTAAAGGATAGTTTGAATGCCAATAGGTTGGGAGGAAAACTTTTAAGTTATGGAAACCTAATGTCGCAACTAGGGGCAGAGCTAGGAAATTTTCATGAGGGGGACCAAAACCTAAGGTGGATTGGGGGGAGGGGGGAAACAAATATGGATGGTCATAGGGGGGGCCAACCCATTGGAGTGGAGAATGGGGGAGAGGGAAATTTACATGAAATAGTGGGGATTTTTGGGCCATAGGGGGGGCCATGGCTCCCCTGGGTCCCCCTAGCTCCGCCCCTGTCTCCACCACTACTCGGTGTTAGGGAGGGACAGAGCAATGTCTCAATTGTTTCATCACCCTCTATTGATGGAAGCTGCCAGAATGGCTTAGGATTGAAAGAGAGTAATTACATGGGATTATCTGACTGTTCTTCGGTGGACAGTTCTGCAATCTCTGGCTTAGCTAAAGAAAATAAAAGCAGTCTGAATCTGAAAGCCACAGAGCCTAAGACTTGGGCTTCTTGGATCTCAATCTCTTAAAAGGAATCTTGAACTGTGCCTTCTGGGCATTCGAAAGGTCGAAAGGTCACTGAGGGGTTCTGGGCGTTCATGAATATTATGAATTTTAAATTCAATAAATAAATAAACAGTCTTGATGTACATTTTATAAATTTACACGAGATTTGAAATTCTTTTTTGTGTACTTATTTAAATTCAATAAATAAGTGGAGCTTGGAGATGGCAAACTCCAAAGTGTTGAAGGAAAGGGTGTTGTTGCATTTTAAACTAAGCAAGGTAATTCTAAGCTCATCTCAGATGTTCTTTATGTTCCTAGTTTGACTCAAAATTTGCTTAGTGTTGGACAACTTATACAAAAAGGTTATGAGGTGCACTTTGACAACGATGAATGTGTAATAACTAATAAGAAGAAAAGTCAAATCATTGCTAGAGTAAAAATGGCTGCAAATAAAATATTTCCATTAACCATGTCCTAAGATGTGAACTATGAACTGAAGAGTGAGAAGTTGGATGAGTCTATGTTATGGCACTTGAGATATGGACACTTGAATTTCAGAAGTCTCTCTTTCTTAAATAACAAGAGTATGGTGATTGGACTTCTTCAAATTGATAGAGAACATAATGTGAAGGTTGCGTCTATGCGAAGCATCATAGGCTATCATTTTCAGAGAGATCATGGCATTTAAAGGCACCATTTGAGCTATTTCATGTTGACATTTTTGGTCCCATGAGGATACATTCCTTCAACAACAAAAGGTATTTTCTTCTCTTTGTTGATGATTTTACTAGAATGATGTGGGTATACTTCTTAGATGCAAAATCACAAGCATTGTCTACTTTTATTCAATTCAAAGTTTTAGTTGTGAAGCAAAATTATCATAAATTAAAAATTTTGAGGACTAATAAAGGAAAAGAGTTTACATTGAGAGAATTTGGGAAGTTTTGTGAAGAACAAGGCATCAAAAGAGAGTTGACAGTAAGACATACCCACAACAAAATGGGGTAACTGAAAGAAGAAATAGAACCATTGTAGAAATGGCACGAAGCATGATGCAAAGTAAAAATCTTCCAAAAAATTTCTGGGTTGAAGCAGTTCATACTGCTATATACATATTAAATTGCTCTCTCACCAAAGCTGTGTAAAATAAAACACTTTTTGAAGCATGGCACAAAAAGAAGCCTGTTTTTAACTCAATTAAAGTGTTTGTATGCATTGCTTATGCTCATATTTCCTCAAGGAAGAGAGAGAAATTTGATGGCAAAGGTGAGAAATGTATCTTCCTTGATTATAGTGATAAATCCAAATGTTACAAATTGCTAAATCCAACTACAATTGAGTTAGTAATTTCAAGAGATGTAATATTTGATGAAGAGGGGGAATGAAACTTTGAAGAAAATTTCCCATAAACAAAGAAATATTTTATAAAAGATGAAGAAGAAGTGATGCCCAATGACCATGAGCATGATACAACTACATCAAATGTAAGGTCAATAAACTCAAGAAAATCAAGCTCAACAAGTTTCATTCCAAGAATGGATCCCTCAAGTTCAAGAAACCAAGATCTATGGCAAGTCCGTCCAAGTTATGTAGATTCAGATACTCCACCAAGAAAGGTATGTTTCACTTCAAGAAATCTTTGATTCTTGTGATGTTGCATTTGTTGCATTAGAACTACAAAAATTTAAAGAAGCTTCAAAAGAAAAAGATTGGATAAAAGCTATGGATGAAGAAATTGAAATGATAGAGAAGAACAAGACATGGGAGTTGGTAAATAAACCCAAAGAAAAGAAGTGATTGGATTAAAATGCGTTTACAAAACAAAGTTCAATGAAGATGGGTCAATCCAAAAGCACAAAGCAATGTTAGTGGCTAAAGGCTATGCCCAATAGCCGGGGGTGGATTTCCATGAGACTTTTGCATCAGTTGCAAGAATGGAAACAATTTAGAATTGTGCTTGCACTTGTTGCTGAACTAAAACTGCACGTATTTTAATTTAATATGAAGTCGGCCTTCCTAAATGGAGATTTAGAAGAAGAAATTTATGTTGAACAACCATAAGGATATGTGATAGAAGGAAAGGAGGACAAGGTTTATAAACTTCGAAAAGCTTTGTATGGCCTAAAGCAAACACCTCGGGCATGGAATAGCAAGATTGATAAATATTTACATAAGAATGGATTTGAAAAAAGTCCAAATGAGCCATCACTCTATGTCAAGAAGGAAGGTATGCATGATTTT